CCTCGGATCCCCTTCTGGTCCCCGTCTCGCCCCTCCCGTGGCCTTGTCATACGTATAGGGTAGCTCTGAGAACAGTGAGCAGCGAGGAAACCTGAGGGATAAGGGCGAGAGGCCACTAGACGTGGCGCCGAAGTGCTCGGCTCGAATCCTGACTCTTACCACTTACTAGCCCCGTAACCTCGGGAGAGGTGGCTGACTTGCATGGCCTCCCTTTACAGTGGGGGGCCGCAGGGGAAAAGGCGCGTGGGCAGCGGGAGCGGTTGGGCCCCAAGGTCAGCGGGGGTCGAGGTGCGGCTGTGGGAGGGCCGTGGAAGTTCCTGCCCGCGGCCGTGGAGGCCATACGGGGCTCCGGGGCTCCGCCGCCCGCGGTCCAGCCCTCATCATCCCGGCGGCCCCGCGCCGAGCGCCGATCCCGGCCACACACTCACCTCGGCCAAGGACCAGACGCTCAGGAAGCCCCTACCGAGAACCGCAGCCTCTGAAAGGTCACTCAGCGCGCAGACGCCGCGCGGAGCCTGCCGGGAAGGCGGAAGGAGCGACGGTGCCCCTGGCCAGAGCGCCTACCTGAGCGCGCCTGCGCACCGCAGCGCCCCCAGCGGTTCGGTGGGATGGAGGCCAACAGCGCGAGCGTTGGGAGAGGGAACGTGGCGGGGTTTGGGTCTTAATAAGGTGACCAACCGTCCGGATTTGCCTGGGGGTGGGACTTCCTGGGCTGCAAAAGGGAAGGTCTTGGACAAACAGGACGAGTTGGTCTACCTGATAACGGGAGTCTCTGCTTGCTCTGTTAATGGCCGAGAAGCCGAGTCTCCCACCTCTGGGTTTCTTGCCATTTCTCTTTGTGTTATCAACATTCTTGCTCTGCATGTTTTTATGCATCAATTTCATGCATAGTAATTCTACTCAATAGACAATATAAATAAAGACTTATACAGGGACCCCAGACACTGGACCTAATAAACATAGGTTTTAAAAAGACCCACGCTTAATATGCACAAGGAAACACAAAATAAGGCTGAAAAATGAAGCAGAAAACTGGAAATTGTAAAAAAAAAATAAACAAAAGAAAGGCACTTAATTGACTTGAAAAAGAGCCAAATAGAAATTTGGTTGATTTATAGCAACAGATTAGACAGTTGAAGAATCACTGAATTGGAGGCTGGGTTAGAAAAAACCTTTAAGGAACACAGACAAAAGAAAGGAACAGCAAGAAAGTCTACCGTAATGTAACCGCCAGTCTAGATTCTACGCGTGAGGAAATTAGCGTTCAATGAAGAAAGCGAAATGACATTTTGGACCAACTAAGACTGAGGGAATAATCAGCAGTAGGTCTGCAGATTAAAAAAAAAATCGGTGTTCATTATTCAGGCAAAAGAAAAGTGAGGTCAGATGGAAGGGTGCGGAGGAGAAACAGCAATTAACTGGCCCCGCTTCAAAGGGAAGAAAGTTTAGGATTAAATGAAGCTGTGCATCAAACTCAGAAAGCTTGTCAACTTACAGTATTGATGCTCAAAATGTGGTCTGGGGGTTTTCAAGACTCCTTAGGGGTCAAAACTGTTAGTCATAATAATAGTAAGATGTTATTTGTCTTTTTCATTAGAATTTTCTCACAGTGTATGGTGTAGTTCTCCAGAGGCTGTATCACTTGTGATGTCACAACCGAATGAGAATCCAGTTTTCGGCCATTAAGGCAGGCATTAAGAGGTCTGTGAAAATGTAGAAGTGTCACTCTTCTCAAACACAAAAATTGGGGGGCAAATATAGTGACTTTTCTTAATTACTCATTTTAACACAAAATGGTTTTATTAATATAAAATTAATTTAAAAAGTAAATAAAACCTTTCTCAGTTGTAACCCCTAAAAAAGTAGATAGAACCCACATAAACAAAAGCTCTCTAGGGTCTTCAACAATTTTTAAGTGTGTAAAGGAATCGAGACAAGGACAAAGTCTGAAAAACACTCTTAGAAAAAGAATGTTTTAGACTTATAATGAGTTAGAAAATTGCAGGGGACAAAAAGCACTTAGGAAAAACCGCAAGGAGTTATTTTAAGACAAATCATTTCAACTTAAAACTCCTCTTGAGATCAACAGAATTTTAATGTCCTTATGCTAATCCAACATGGCCCGCAAGAAACATGGCCCATGGTCAAAGAAAACAATGTTTAAAGAGTGAGCCATCCAAGCAGATTTATTCAAAGTACAAAATGCTGTATTTTGTGGGTGAGGAGGGTCAGTGAAGATACGAAAGTTAATTTTGGGCAAAGCTTCTCCTGCTACAGCATCAACATCATTTGTAATAGTCCTCTGCTGTTTGCCCTTTAGGCCTGCAGCCCCACAAGCTCTGGGAATGCAAATATGGGAAACCTCCACCAAGGCCCACTCTGGGGCCTTCCCATGTGCCATGACCTAGGTGTCCACGTACCTATGCAGAACTATCAAGCTGCCTCTTGTGAACTCTGGACTTTGGGCAGGAATGCTGGATGAGCTGGGCCAAGTGACTAAAGAGGGCCAAGAACTACTTGTGAAAGGAAGGGGCTCAAAGCAGGCCCTGGGGCAAGCCTGTGGCATCTCCAGACCTGTCATCACTTGTTCTGTCACCCTCAAAGAAGACTCACAACTGAAGCGGCAGATCCAATCTATGCAGCAGTCCATTGAAAGGCTCTTAGTCTAAACAGGTGACCTCAGCCACATGCCCTGCTGACCCCTCCCCCAGGGGTTATGTATCATATTGTTTGTTAGCATGCCGTATCTTCAGCTACCTTCTGTTGTTATAAAATACTGTAGTGCTTAATCCAGTTTTTGGACTTCCCTGATGGCTCAATGTTAAAGAACCTACCTGCCAATGCAGGAGACACAGTTTCGATCCCTGGGTTGGGAAGATCCCCTGGAGAAGGAAATGGCAACATGCTCCAGTTTTCTTGCCTCAGAAATCCCATGGACAGATAAGCCTGGAGACTTCTGGTCTCCAGTAAACTTCTGGAGTTTACTCAAACTCATGTCCATTGAGTCAGTGATTCCATCCAGCCATCTCATCCTCTGTCATCCCCTTCTCCTCTCGCCTTGAATCTTTCCCAGCATCAGGGTTTTTTTCAGATGAGTCAGTTCTTCACATCAGGTGGCCAAAGTATTGGAGTTTCAGCTTCAACATCAGTCCTTCCAATGAATATTCAGGACTGATTTCCTTGAGGATGGACTGGTTGGATCTCCTTGTACTAGTAATGTACTAATAATGTACTAGGGAACATAAATGGGAATTGCAATTATTGAAGTGGACAACAGAGGATGACATGGTTGGATGGCATCACCTACTCAATGGACAGGAGTTCGAGCAAACTCTGGGAGACAGTGAAGGACAGGGAAGCCTGGTGTGCTGCAGTCCATGGGGTCACAAAGAGTTGCACATGACTGAGCAACTGAATAGCAGCCTATCTTGCAAAATTCGAACGTGGTAGCCTTCACCAAATGGATGAAGTTGTAGTGTTTTTCAATCAAGGCTGAACGACATACAAAGAGTCTCAGTGACTTTATGATCACATTTTCTTGTCTTTCCCTTGCCCACAAATGTATGTGTGAGGCATACTTCTGATGGTTCAGTATTTGGATCAGCCAAAAATCCAAGGCCCAGATCTCATAATATGTCAGTGGTGTGGCCAAGTTAGGACCTTGAACTGCTAGCTCAGTACCATGCTGGGTTCATTTTTTGTTAAGAAACCAGTAGTTCAACCCGGTCTAGTCTGACTTCTGCCTGCACTGCTCTCATGCTGACCTCCTAACTGCCACTCGGCTATTTCCCAGTCCTAAACTGATTGGCTCTCACATTGTTGATCAGTACCATGCTCTTCATGCTGCCCATGCATTCTTTCACACCACGCTTTCTTGGGAGCCCACATGGTGCCCCACACTGCACTGGGCACTGATGATATTAAGGTGGACAGGCAGTAATGTTAATATCTTTGCTGGATTTGTCCTTTCTGCGTCTTCTTTCAGGCTGTTTCCTAGCTTCTGTCCACCTTCACTCGCTCTGGCCTGGACATTTTCAGCTGCTCTGAGGGTTTTAACCACCATCTATTTGCTTATCTCCAAATGCTAACCTCTTACCACCTGTCTCTGTGCAGCTGTTGAGAGGACACTGCCCTCGAGAAACGGATTTAGGAAAGAAGATGAACTCAGTCTAGTCAAGTTCTGGCCCCACTAAATTCCGTCCAGATCCTCATCTCAGCTACCAGCGCCCCCTGCCTTCATCAGGGGATTACTTCCCCTCCAAGTCCTGCTTCGCCCGGTTCTCCCGCAGGTGTCCACTTAGGTGTCATTTTCTCCAAGAAGCCTTCCCTAACTTTCTTGCTCCTTTCCTCAAATTAGGTGCAAGCTGTTTGACGTTAGTAGGCTCTGGTTTGCCTTTCATCTTCCTCACCCCGAGGTCTATCACCGCGACCCTGCCCTGGGCTAGGCGCACAGGAGATACGCAATAAACGTCTGTTCCTTCCCGGCCCAGATCGCCAGGCCTCAGACGGAGTAGCCCCGAGGGGGGGCTGGAGAGACACTGGGGACCTTGGTCTTGCACATCTACGGTCCCCTTACGCTAGGCCCGCCTCCACACGGCCGAACGACCCTGAAGGCCTCATTTCCCCAATTTTGGGAATGGATAGCCGAGGCCCGAGTCACCCGGCCTCTGTGGGGGCGGAAGAGCAGCGCTCCCAACAGGCTTAGAGCAGCGCGTCGGCACCACGGGGTCCCCTGGCGCCACAAGCTCCCAGCAGCCCCTGCGCGTGGAGGGCTCTGATTGGAGGCCTTGTGGTGGGGCGGGGCCAGAGGCAGGAGATTGAGGCGATGTGCCTCGTGGAGGGCTCTGATTGGAGGGCTTGCGGCAGGGCGGGGCAGGGTGGGGCGGGGCCGCGGGCTCGCCGTCTCTTCGTCTCTTCGTCGTGCAGCCAGGTGTTCCCGCGTCGCCTGTTCCCGCTTGTCCGACCGGCGGTTGGCCCGGCGCGGAGGCCCAGCTGCGAACATGCTGCGCAAGCTCACCCTTGACCAAATCAATGATTGGTTTACTATCGGCAAGATGGTGACCAACGTGGAGCTCCTCGGCTCGCCACCTGCCTTCCCTGCAGAGGCTGCCCGGGACGAGGCACAGCGCAGGGATGTGGCCCCCAGCTCTGACCCCGAGGCTGAGGGCCAGGCTGAGGCTCCAGCTGAGGCTTCGGTCCTGGCCCAGGCCCAGGCCCAGGACCAAAACCAGGAGCAGGCTCCAGCCCAGGCCCAGGCCATGCTGGCACTACCCTGGAGGTAGGAGGCTGGGGAGGACAGAGACGGGTGGGCGCAGCTGTGGGCCTGGGCCCCGAGGACCTGGGCCGCCCCCACCCTGTAAGACCGCGTCCCTGGCCTTGGCCTCTCTGGTGAGGTAGCTGGGCATCAGACAAGCCCCAGTCTGTGGCCTGGAGCAGGTTAAGCTTCTCCACCAGGAGTGGAACCTCTCCAGAGTTTGGGTCAGTGTAAAATCTTTTTATTGATAGGCTTTATTATTATTTTTTAGAGCAGTTTAATTTTACAGGGAAATTGTACAGATTGTAGAGTCCCAAGTATCTCCTGCTACCCCAGCAGTTTCCCTCATTGTTAGTATCTTGCTTTAGTGTGGTATATTTGTATGTTTGTTACAACTGGCATTTATTTTGGACCCCAAGAAAATGAAATCTCACACTGTTTCCATATTTTCCTTATCTATTTTCCGGCAAACCAGTAGATACATCATTGTTAACTAAATCCATAGATAAGACAGAGGGTTCATTCTTGGTGGCGTACAGTCTGTGGGTTTGGACAAAGCATGACGATATGTATCCACCATTAGCATCAAAAAGAGTAGTTCCCCTGTCGAAAAAATCCTGTGTTCTGCCTGTTCATCCCTCTTTGCCCCACTCCCCACCCCCAGTGGGTAGGCAACGACTAATCTTTTTGTTATCTCTAGTTTTGCATTTTTCACAGTGCCTTATAGTTGCTTCCCTGTGGTGGCTCAGTGGTAAAGAATCTGCCTACCAATGCAGCAGACGCAGGTTTGATCCCTGGGTGGGCAAGATTCCCCTGGAGAAGGAATTGGCAACCCACTCCAGTATTCTTGCCTGGGAAATCCCGTGGACAGAGTCTGGTGGGCTACAGTCCATGGGGTTGCAAAAGAGTCAAATCCAACTGAGCAACTAAACAACAATAGTTGTTATTCTACTGTATGTGACCTCTTCAGATTGGCTTCTTTCACTTAGTATTATGCACTTAAAGTTCTACATGTTTTTCCAGGGCTTGATTACTCATTTCTTTTTAAGTGCTGAATAATATTCCATTGTCTGGATGCACCTTGGTCTATTTATTGGATCACCACTGAACAATATCTTGGTGGATCCCAAGTTTGGCAGTCGTGAATAATGCTGCTGTAAACATTCTTGTGCAGGTTTTGTGGGCTCAGAAGTTTCAGCTTTAGTTTCAGTTTTAGCAGCAGCAGCAGCAGCAGCAGCAGCAGATCTGGTCAGTAGAAACATCTGCTTACTCTTTAAAGGAGGTCAGAGTGGAAGTACCTCTTCCCACCTGGGGAATCTGTATCACTGTTTGGCCCCTGGCCCCTTCCCCTCAAGTTCAACACCTTTTACAGTTGAGATGGTGGTTTTGTTTTTAAAACTTTTTGAAGTTACTCTTGTTCATTGCTTCTCACCCCTACCCTTTGATCTAGTGGATGCACTTGAGCCTGAGTCAAGGTCTCATGGGCTGTTTCCAGCCTTTGTAGACACACTTCAAGCCTTTGTAAAGCCAAGTGGGACTTGGGATCTTCGGTAAATTTGTTTCTTGGGGGCAGGGAGGGGATAAAGAAACTCTGATACAGCTTTCCAGTTGCTGTTTTGTTTCGTTCTCACACATTTTGTTTCCTTGAATTGCTCTGGCAAATGATCCCTTAGCACCTAACCCCTGCAGCCCTGCTCTGCCCTGTGCTCCGTGGGCTTAATGGACAGAGCGGTATTGCTTTCAAATAACTCGTTGTTGAAGTAAATTATTATTGACTTGGTCAGAAATGACAAGCACGGATTTCAATGTCTTTTTAACTACTAAGGACAAGTTTAAAAATTTTTCAATTCTTCATGGGCTAAGACTGTTGTAAAGTCAATAAAAATGAGTTTTCAGAGTAATAAAATGAAAAAAGATAAAATACAAGCCCCATTATTAAGATTATTGCAATCAGCATGTAAAATTACTTTGTAAATGCAGTAAATGCTTGCCTACCACCAGTGAAAAGGCAAAAAATTATGACACTGAAAGATGAACCCCCCTCCCCAGGTCAGTAGGTGTTCAGTATGCTTAAGAGTGGAGAAGTAGCTCCAGAAAGAATGAAGAGGCTGAGCCAAAGTGGACACTGCCCAGTTGTGGATATGTCTGGTGGTGAAAGGGAAGTCTGATGCTGTAAAGAACAGTATTGCATAGGAACCTGGAATGTTAGGTCTGTGAATCAAGGTAAATTGGAAGCCGTCAAACAGGAGATGGCAAGAGTGAACATTGACATTTTAGGAATCAGTGAACTAAAATGGATGAGAATTGGTGAATTTAATTCACCTGACCATTATATCTCCTACTGTGGGCAAGAATCCCTTAGAAGAAATGGAGTAGTTCTCATAGGCAACAAAAGAGTTTGAAATGCAGTACTTGGATGCAATCTCAAAAGTGACAGAATGATCTCAGTTTGTTTCTAAGGCAAACCATAGTACAGTGCAAGTCTCACATCTGCACATAACTACTGGGAAAACCATAGCTTTGACTAAACGGACTTTTGTTGGCAAAGTGATGTCTCTGCTTTTCAATATACTATCTTAAGTTTGTCATAGCGTGAGCGCCAGAGAATTGATACTTTTGAATTGTGTTGGAGAACACTCTTGAGAGTCCTTTGGACAGCAAGGTGATCAAACCAGTCAATCCTAAAGAGAATCAACCCTGAATGTTTATTGGAAGGACTGATGCCGAAGTGGAAGCTCCAGTACTTCAGCCATTTGATACAGAGAGCCGACTCATTGGAAAAGACCCTGATGCTGGAAAAGATTGAGGACAGGAGGAGAAGGGGGAGACAGAGGATGAGATGGTTGGATAGCATCACTGACTCAGGGGACATGAGTTTGAGCACACTCCAGGAGATGGTGAAGGACAGGGAAGCCTGGTGTGCTGCAGTCCATGGATGTTGCAAAGAGTCAGACACGACTTAGTGACCATACAACAACAAAGTAGAGGGCCCTGTTGGGTCCACCTGGACTTGTGACTTACAGAAACTGTGAAATAATACATTGGTGGTGTTCTAACCTGCCGAACTTGTGCTGACTTGTGGCAGCGGCAGGAAACTGATAGAGTGGTGGAGCTGGGATTCAGACATGAGAATCTGTCGCCTGGTATAGCGGCTGCCCAGAGGCTTGCTGACTGATGTCTCCTCTGTGCAGGAGAGCTTCGATGTTGGGAGAAGTCGCAGAGGAAGGCAGCCTTTATCAGTGTAGGGTATCACACAGTGAAACGGTATTAGAGAGGAACACTCAAGTGGGAAGAGTGGCTTGCATGGGTCATTGGAGTCTAGTCTGTGGGTACCGCTAAATCGGTTTAGTGAGCTGTCAGAGTCACGGCTGTGGTTCTCCAGCGGTCATGTGTGGATGTGAGAGCTGGACTGTGAAGAAAGCTGAGCGCCGGAAAACTGATGCTTTTGAACTGTGGCGTTGGAGAAGACTCTTGAGAGTCCCTTGGACTGCAAGGAGATCCAACCAGTCCATCCTAAAGGAGATCAGTCCTGGGTGTTCATTGGAAGGACTGATGCTGAAGCTGAAACTCCAATACTTTGGCCACCTGATGCAAAGAGCTGACTCAATGGAAAAGATCCTGATGCTGGGAGGGATTGGGGGCTGGAGGAGAAGGGGACAACAGAGGATGAGATGGCTGGATGGCATCACCAACTCAATGGCATGAGTTTGAGTAAACTCCAGGAGTTGGTAATGGACAGGGAGGCCTGGCGTGCTGCGATTCATGGGGTCGCAAAGAGTCGGACGCGACTGAGCGACTGAACTGAACAGTCATGACCACTAGCATTTAAAAACAGAGCAACAGAAAATTCCAGAATGGATCATGCTAGTTCAGATAACAGTTTGCTCTGTGAGATGGATGCATGTCTGGGTGGTGAGTATGGTCACGGTGTGTTTCCTTCTGGAAGGAGGCCACGCCTGAGGCCCTGTGGTAAGTGGTCAGAGATGGCCACGAGTCGGGAGGGGTGGCGAAGCAGGGTGGGAGGGTGAATGGTTTGCAGATGATGCGTTCAGTGATACGGACCTCCTCCTGTCTTGTTTTACACGTGGTGGTGTGTTTTTTCTCCTTTGTGCTGATTGTGGGGTATGCTTTCTTCTATTTTTACATCCCCTTTCTTCACCTTGGCATGTGAAAAAGGAAATATTTTGTGACTGTGTTAGGCATTTCGAGCGTTTTCTGCCACAGTTGTCTATGTGGGCTTTCTTTTGGAACTCGGGGCCCGGCCCTCAACTTGAGGTTGGGAGCTGGCCACCCCACCCTCTGCCCTGGGCTGGTCTGTGTGTGGACTGGCCTCTGTCTGCAAAGCTCACAGACTCCTGGCTCATGATGGTCTTGCTTAGCTCTCACTTTTATATCTTTTGACTCTCCAGCACCTTAAGATGTACTTGATCCCAGAGAAACTGCTACCGAAAGCTTTCCAATTGCCGTCATCTGGTGCCGTTACCCAGTTTCCTTTTTTCTTAGTTTCCCATTTCCTTCCGGGTCTGCTGTGCTGTGGGTCGAGTGCCTGCTGTGTTGGGCATTCTGCATGTGACGCAGGCCCCCGGGCAGTCCGTGCTCTGGCAGACGAGGCTGGTCCTGTCTGACAGCTGCCCCCGGCGTCCTCAGCCGTGCTGAGAGGCTGCTGCCGGCGCGTTCTCTCATAGGTTGGACAGTGGGTGTGTTTGCCTCCACAGCATAGGACCTTTTCCTTTCAGCCCTGCCTTTCCGTGTCTAGGCCTTGCACAGATGTTAGTGTTTGCTTGTGTTACCGTCCAAGGAGTTCTGTTTTCTATTCACTCACAAAGTCCCTGTTTTTTTAAAAACCTTCTATTTAACAGATGTAAGTTACTGGTAATTTCCCCATTCATTGGGAAAGTACTTGAGTGTCTGTCTTCCATGTACAGCTGGAGTAGGCTGATGGAGAGGAGGTGAGGTCCGGCGGGAGCAGGCGCCAGGTCACGAGTTCGTCTGCAGTCTCGGTGAGAAGCTGCCCCACCCGAGAC